GTTGTTGGTATTAATGCTGATTCCAAGATAGACGAAATTATCTACAAACAAAAGTTTTTGAGTCACACTAAACATTTAATGAAGATCGTAGAGTCGTCGAAAACTTGCCTTATGCAATTTTTACCTTTTGTTAATGACGATAACATCGAAAAAGATTAAGCTTGAAAATCTTCGTGCTGGCATAAGATAGAAAGTATAGGATCTCAACCCATAAGAGTTGGATCGACTCAACACATTTCGGTTGGTGTTTTGGGTATGAAGCCTGCCAATATTTGACTCGTTTCTTTTGCAAAAATAAAGGTGCAAACTGTAGAGATCGCAAAAGAATTTGACTTTATGAATCTAACGTCGAAACTTTCCAACAATGAGTTGAAATCAAAAAAAACCAAACAAAAACAAAAAAAAAAACATTCACCGATGGCAACGAAGACCATCGCAGCCGTGGCTTATAACATGTGTAAGGAAAACTTGCTAAAGCGTTGGCATTTTGACTCAAAATGAACTTATCTTGCAGGCGATAAAAAAGTATGTATTAAATCCGTTCCCACGACAGGCAGACAGGCTCCATGTAAGCGGAACGGACTCAGGTTTTTATCCGGCCAAGGACTGTCAATGTGGCACCATTCCTCGAAAATACCTGCAGAAATGCTTTCTGCCGCTACAACAACAACAATTGTATTCAATTGTGCGAAAATGTTTTGTTCTTTTGTCAGTCCAAGTCAATTTTCTTTAGATGATATTTTACTCCTGATCGAGAGGCAGCTTTTTTTTTTTGCAAAAACTGTGCTCAGCGTACAACGTTTTGTCACACATTCTAGTTAAGTTCATTGTAATTAACATATTTTTGATTTAATTACACAGTTGTAAGTATACCATAGACAGTTCCCTACAGATTCCCATTCGGTATATTTTCTCACACAATTTTATCTGCATCACTGAAAGTTATCTCAGCCATGACAAAAAAGTTTAAAAAACAATATAATTATCAATGTCGCCAGTGCGCAGGCGCTCCTAGGCACATAAGCACTGTTTTATGTTGTAAGTAGGTATGTGCTATATATAATGCCTACGTCGCTGACTTGATACAAATGACAATTAGATGAATTACAAAGTGGGCACCTTACGCTCCGCGCCTACTCCTCCCTTTACTAGAATAATCTGTGAAAGTATCAGCTTTACTTGATAGTGACCGAGAACGCTAGCGACTTTAGCTATGCGGCGAGAAACGCGGTGTCTTTAATGTTTAGATCTTTAAATATTTGTTAAGCATCTTAAAAGCTATGCCTGCAGCGGCACACTAACAAGCCGCCGAGTGCAATGTCTATGAGTGCGAGCGCATGAGCACGTACATACATACATACTTGTCTATATCTAAAGCGACTATAGCGGATTGTTTTATTTGCTTCGTGTGTTTATGTGTGTCTGCAGCGTAAAGTCTATTGGGTGTTGTGGAAAGCGAATTCCTCAAATGTTGATTATTTTCCTGTTTATAAATGCGATAATTAATTGGAGCCTTCAGCGCTTCTACACACCCGGAGTGATGGGTCAATGGCTGCTGGCTGCCGGCTAGTGACGGGCGATTGCTGGCTGTTCATCGCTGACTGCCGATGACTGATGCCTTGTGGCAGTGACTGCCATGCCGGTCCAAGTTGTTGGATGTATATGGATTTTTTTTGGTTTTTTTCGGCAGTGTCCGTTTAAGTGCGACCCACGCTCTAGCTGAGGCGCTCCTGACAGACAATTAACGTTGTGATTTGCACTGCTTCGCTTCGGCGCACAGCCGGATGTTGTACGTATGCAGCATGTACCTTTGTGTATTTGTTTTAGGTTCAGGTCATAAACGTATGTGACTGTGTCTTTACTCATATGTAAATTCCTTTCCTGTATGTGCTTTTTTTCGGTGTGCGCCAGTAATCAGCGTAGCTAGCGGACTTCGCTGTAATTTACGTTTTGTTATTGTTTTTCTTTCGCGAAGAATATTGAATCTGCTTGTGCTTCGGTTAAAGTTGAATCAGCCGAGCGCAGCGGTATAGAAATTAATTCGGTGCATTGTTTCATTTTAGCACATTTCGTTGTGTTTTTGTTGTTGTGGTTTTTACTGTTTATGTCGGCGTTTTGCGGATGAGCCCGTTCTACGTTGATCTCCCTCCCCACCTAACGTTTTCATTATCATTACAGGCATGCGCCAGAGGCGCTGCGAATGCCAACATTAATAAGATGCGCAACAACAACAAACAATGAGTCTTCGCAAAAATAATAACATCGGCCACAATGCAAACGCACATGCGCACACACATGCACTTACCTATGTATGTACATTCATTACTTCTTTGTGTAGTCCAAATGAAAATTCGCATGTAAATATACAAATTTGCCACACATATGTACATACATACGATCAAATGTGTGTGTCGGGTGTAAGCAGCAAATTTTTGCGCATTTATCGCCGGCGCGGATCAACGCAAAGGTCACAGTACGTTGGGTTCATTTGCAAATAATAGGCGTGACAAGTGCGTTACGCTCTGTTGCGTGCCGTAATCGAGCATCGGCGACAGCGTCGGTCACAGCCTCAATTTGTGCTCCGACTTTCGCAGCTTTTAATACCTATTGTGCCTGAATTCCAACATTAAAGTCACACAAATTATTCTGTTCGCCGCAAAAGATAATTACAAGATTTTGGGAATTTGTTGTTTTGCTTATTGTTATTTTGCTTCTATGAACTTTTGTATTCGCAACAAAAATGTTGAATTTAATTTTAGTGATAACGTCAAAATTCCTCGCTCGTCGCACTATAGCAATTGCTTTTATAATTTCGGCTGTCATTCAATGTTCTGCGGACACGCATGCGCAGTCTTTCATTATTGCCCTGGCGGAGAGAATGTTGTATTAGCATATACATATAATATGAGTACTCATAAATATACTTAATATAAGCTATACATTTATTTATGGTTTTATAAGTGATTACATAAGCTTCTAACTACATGTATATATACTAGGGTGGGTCAAAAAACCGATTTTTTCGCTTGATGCTATAAAAATAGGATTTCCAAATTCTCTAAGAAAATATCTCTAACTAACGGGTGATATAAGTAGAGTTCCTTTTTTTAATAGCCTTCTTTTGAGAGATCACGTGTCCACCTATGTTGTGTTCGTTTGAGCAACGTTTACAAATCGTTCAACTTTATTACGAAAATTTACCTTTTTATAAGAATGTTTTCAGCGCGTTTCATTCAACTTATGGCCAACATTATCGAAAGAGACAATCTTAAAAAATGAAAGCAAAATAATGTTCTGTCGAATGTTAATAAACAATCCATATTTTTGTCTTCAAAAAAGTAGGGAACCTCCAAATGGATCACGCTTTATTTTTAAACACTTTTCTTTTGGACCTTATATAATGGATATCTCGTAAACGCTTGACAAAATTCCATTTTGTAAAATAATCAATTTCATACGAAACAGTAAGTTTTGCTATTTAAAATGGGTTTTTCCATTTAATCCATAAAATTCATAACAAAAAGAAAACATATTCATAAAATAATTAAACCTCAATCCATAATACGTTTTAAACGATTATGTTAACGAAAAAATCGACATAAACCTTTTTTGATGAGCATAATTTTTTCCAAAGAGTTGCAAGCGTGATATTAATTATGAGCTCATGTCTACTTGGAGAGACTTGGAGAAATTTACTTTTCAGAGTATCATATGAAAAGAAGTTTTGTTTGTTTTTAACCACCCTAATATTTACTCAATTGTAACAACATTTCTACAATAGTGTCTATACAATATGCAACTTAAAGCGAGAATATTAAGATATATAATTTTTTTATTATAAAAAAAAAATAATAATAGAAATTGTCATTATCTTTCATTTTCGAAACTTTTGATTAACACACAATTCATCTGTGGTCTTTAAAAATTAAAGTCTTAAAGGCTATTTCAGTTCTAAGGGGATTACCAATGCTAAGTTTAAACCAGGCGAAGTGAGCACTGACGTCCATGCGCGCAGTAGTTTTAATGACCTTCTACAGATCTCAAAGGACTTATTCTTTTTCTTTACTGGCCTTGACACCGCTTACGTGTTTATAGCCGAGTTAAGAACAGCGCGCCACTTGTTTCTTTCTTTCGCTTTTTGGCGCCAATTCGAGATATCAAGTACAGTCCTCGTTTTCAATGGCGGGTACTGAATGCTACACAGTGGACGCTCCAAAGAGTATGTTACCGGCTACAACATTAAAAATATCTACAGTTTGCATGACCTTCTAAAGATTTCAAAGGAACGTGTTGGGTATATTGTGAATGAATATTTGTTTATGCGAAAGATCTAAGAAAAGTGGGTGCTCAGCTCACAAGCCAACAAAAGAAGAAACGAATTGATGATTCCGGCGAATATTTAAAGGGGTTCAATAAAAATAAAACCTAACTTTTGCTTCGATATGTGACAATAGCTAAACATTGATCCATCATTTCACACTGTAGTTAAATCGACAAAAAAATCGAAGTTAATTACATTGAACAATAAAATCGAATTTTATCAAAAAACAAAAATTTTTATGTTAGCTTACGAACTCTTCAGCACACCGCTAGTATAGTCTGATTAAAAATCGAATTTTTGCAGGACAATTAAAAACAAGATTCTGGATAAAATGCAATTTCTTTTCAAAAATACCCCCATTTGTAAATATGGTTTTTTTCGGCGGAAGGCAAGGTTTGGTAGAGCATTTTTATTGCAATCACTACAGTACAGGAGGACATTTCTTCATAGCCGTCGACGGTCGGGAGGAACTGGAAAAATATTAAACTATTATTTATATTTTTCTGTGTTCTTAAAATACACATACATATGTACGTTTGTATATACACGAGTAAGTATGCCCTCACAAGTTTAACATTACGATTTTTTTTTTGTTCCCAAAAATCGCCATGGGAAAATCGGTGTACAACTTTTTCATCCAATACACCTAAGACTGGTATCAAAATAAATGCATAGTTGCTTATGTCATACTCACCACTGTATGTTTATCTGTAAATACGTATTTGTTGATGTAAATTATAATAATTATTTGTACTTACTTGTCAAACCAAACTGAATTAGTATAAAGAGGTAAGACATAATGGCCGATAATATGACTAAGATGAACTCATTGTTGAGGTGAAAGAATCCCAACACCTTAATTTCGAGGTTTTCCACTTTGCGTTGGCATATGAATGTCTCAACCTACAATATTATGACCATAAAAGAAAATTTAGAAGAATTTAAGGAAAGCATTATAAATGTTCATATACATACTTATGTACATACTATGTACATATATATACATATGCATATAATTATATTAGATATTCCTGTAAAAATGGCAGTCCGGAATGTGTCAGCGATTAGTCACAAAGGCACATAATATACTTTTGGAGAATCGTAATGTATCTTACTCTTCACTTATAAAAAGTTTTTTCATTATAGAAATCAACTAGGAGGTTGCAGATTACGGAGTAACTGTTACTATAACAAAGCCTTGGGTTACTAGCAGTATGGCAATACCCTACAATTCACTTTGCTAGTCACACACACCACACTTTGACGGCCACTGGCGAATGAAGCGTGTTTCTTCTTCTTTTTTCTATATTTTCTCTATTTTAAATTTCTGTTACTTTAACTAAACTTACGCTTTCATCCCAACGCGCATCGATATCTGAGCAGATCAGATCCAAATTGAGCAAATCGGTTAGTTGGGACTTCTGCACGACATCGTCAGTGCTAAATATTAAGAAGGCCAAGTTGCAAAACTTAAAAACCGTGGAGAAAAACGCCATTAAATCCACATAACCCATTTCGATATATCTTTCCGAGCACACACACAATTCTTTCATACGTTGATGTTTACTTAAACGCTGTTGCGGCTCTTCCGATTCAATTTGGCTCATCCTTTCAAGCATCCGCTCCAGATGTGTAGCCATTGCAATGTACATTTGTCTGATGACCATAAAGCCCACGAAACAACAATCCAATATATATATTGTGCTTAACCATAGGTAAATGCCTGCTAAGAAACTCATCAGTTCTGTACCTTCGACTAGAAGTGGAATTTCATATAACAGTCCGAAAGCGCTGAGTAGAATTTTCAATATGACAGATACTACAAATGTGCGTCCCAGTATCTGTTCAATCCTTGACTTTATTGAAATCCTTTCGTACATATTAACGAGTTTATTGATTATTTGAAATATTTTTCGTTCCGAACACTCATTTATAACGAATGGCATTATCGAGAAGAGTGTTACAGTTATCACCTGCACATCGGCACAATATATTAAGAATGAGTTGTCTACATGTTTTATATATGGTGCCATCATTTTTGGTATCAACCACGCAAAATTCAGAGAAAGCGAAATGCGCCATATAATTCTTATAATTCGAATCCAACGTTTTCCTTGACGTAACTCCATCTTATGTTTCTGCAATTTCCAACCGAACACACTCAGGAAGTGTCCATACTTGTAGAGTACTCCAATCAGGCGGTAAGCGAAAAGCTCTGTACGATAGTACTTCGGCATAGTTAACAACGAACTGAGCTGTTCAAAGAGTCGCCGTGCTGAATGCATCACAGTGGGGAAAAGTTGTTAGGAAAATAATGTATATCGTACTATGTTCATGGTTCAAGGTGTTTGATCGACCAACTATAGTAGCCGGCACTCTGTTGCTTATTTTACTAATTAAATATGGAGATAAGATGTCTGCGATATGGACTCATAACCATTGCTGTGGCCGTATATACCATAGTTGGCTAGTCAATGTTTGGTGTTCAGGCAAAAGTAATACACAAACATCTCCATAGGTGTGCTGTTATTGGGGCGATAGTTTGATGATTTCGGTTATCCTCATTAACGCATCAGCTTTTAAATGAGAAACAATTAATTAATTTATTATATAATGCGGAGTGCAACATCAAAATAAGCTGGAAAAGGACTAGTTCACAACAAAAACTTCCAACTAAATGAACTACTCCGAGAGAGGCCAGACTTTTGTCCTTCATAAACCAAATTTAAAATTTGTGTGCAGTTATTATTAAATTAGGCAAAGCACTGAAAAATATTCTAAGACAGTATCATGAATAATTTTTATGGTTATTTATGATTTTAGTATTTTATTTGTTCATTTTTGAAATTCAAACTTCTGATTTCATTCTAAAATTGCGCCAGTTATTTTGTGTAGTCGTTCTAGGAATTCGACAGTTAACATCGCGTAAGGTTGACCATTTGAAAAACAGTTACAGTTACTTTCTACTGGTTCGTTTTGCGCTTCTTCTAGTTCTCTAGTTAGAATTTAGTTTATAACTGGTTCTTTTGACTGTATTGGGGCAGCAGAGTACTGTGAGTTGGTGGTAATGATACGTTTGTTCAATGTAGGGTCTTCAGCTATGGTGTCAAGCAATTCTTTTGGGATCTGTATTCGCTGTAACCTTTGCAAAATATTCGTTCTTTTAATAGTTTCACGCTTCAAACTCCGAATATTAACCAAAATGTGTGGAGTCGAACTATAAGAGATGTTGAGATCCTCTGCTGTCTGTGTACCATAAACTCAATACGACGTTGTCGTCATTAACAGAGATGAAGGTACACTTACATGAGGCAAACCTTCGTTTATTAAAACATTGTTGCAACATTTTCAACGATTCCGCCAGAGCAATTATTTAATTGGTAACACAAAAGCAAAAGCAAAATCTTTATTTTTTTCCATTGTACAAGTAAAAATCGTCAAACTATATCCACCAAACACTGTCTAATTGACATGTGTTGATCAAACTTCACGCGACTTTATGGGTTGTACTAATATAGGGAAAATTCCTTATTTATTCGATTTGCAGGAAATGGACCAGTCCAGGTCAAATTTGATCAGATCAAATAAATTAAATCTATTAGATGCTCGAATGCAGTTTTACTTGTAAGATTCTTCAATTGTCGGACCAATTGCAGAAAGAAACTTTCTAAAAAAACTTATCATTAATCTAGAAATATATTCTTGTATGCCCTCGAGAAGGTGGGACGAAAGTAGGCATCTGTAAGCAATTATTTATAAAGATAAGTTCGAATATCAATTCACTCTCTGAAGAACAACTAAGCGACGGGGACCGATGGATTGACAGCCGAGCTATTCAAATACGGCAGCGAAGAACTGATAAGGAGCATGCATTAACTTCTTTGTAGAATATGGTCGGATCAAAGCATGCCCAACGACTGTAATTTGAGTGTGCTGTGCCGAATCCAAAAAAAGGGAAACCCCACAATCTGCGCCAACTACCGTGGGATAAGCCTCCTCAACATCCTATATATAGTAAGTCTCTATCGAGCGTATTGTATGAAAGACTAAATATCACCGTCAACAGACTATGAGGCTTTAGACCTGGAAAATCAATTGAGAAGTAAAGTCCCCTCTCGACGAACAAAGTCCAAACTCTATAAGTCAATCAATATTCCCGTCCTGCTATGTAGTGCAGAGGCACGGCCGATGACAACGGCTGATGAGACACAATACCCGCCGAGAGAAGCAGATTAAGACCTCTACTCCATTGAAGAGATCAGGTGAATAACGATTTGGCTGCACGTGGTATCTAAAATTGGCGGCAATTGTGAACGCAGCTATAAACGCGTAGGCGGTGTCTACGCCAGTAAATAAGAAGAAGACACTTTCTTCAATTATTTCTAATAACTTCGACACTCGATCAGATTCGAAGTTTTTCCTAGTAAGGATTTGGCTCCTAAGTGTTGGAGTCTGATTTCTATTATATGTACTTCCAAAAATTGGCAACTTTGTTTCTACAGCATCTATTAAGTAGTCAACCTGAATAAAATACCAAGAAAAATATTTGTTTGTACATCCATATAATGACTGTATGTATACAAAAATGTTTAGTGCTGTTATAATGTAATTGAATAGGCACATTCATACATACCACATCAAATGCTTATGCTACAATGGCAGAGACTATTTTTCAGGCCATCAAGCTGCGACTTTCACCAGCACAAGTTTCACAGAGATATTACTGGTTTTTATTCGCCAAAGAAATCGCTTAGAACAAAGACTACTATGCATTTGAAACCAGGAAGTGTGAGGCTATTAAGCCAGAGAACGTCTTGTGGAAAACTTGCTCATACAACTTTCTTTGACAATTGTGTTCACCAGGTCGCCCGTGTGTGCGTATGTGTGTTGGAAACCACTTCCACAGAGGTTTTGCATAGACTTTATCGAAGTTTTCGCGCAAATTTTGCCAAAAAGAGACTTTCAAATAGAAACGGCTTGTGCATACATGTTTATCTGTAGATGTACATATGTAAGAATACGGAGGTATATTTGTGTTTGAATTAAGTTTGAATCCTGTTCGAACAGTAGCAGCGAATAAACCGAGTTGCAGTGGTACAATAACTAGTGTTTGTATGGGTATATACTATGGATGTGTGTGAATACTGTGGCTTTAAATACGAACACTACCGCTTTTCCAAGCCATACTTTATTTTATCGCTTCTTGGCGAATCCGTGTATCTGTTGACTCTATGTACATATGTATGTGTGCACGAGCATCGAAAGCGCTATTGCTAGGCATAACTGGTTTGCTGTAATGCCACAGACCATAGACTTGCTGACTTTTTATGATTTATATACATACATACATATTATATGTTTGTCACAAGAGTTTGTTGTGCCACTCTATGGAGCATTATGTGCTTGTATTTGTGCAAGTGTATGCCGTTTGCACAGATTATCTGGTGAATTGCAACGGCTATGGCAACGTCAGTTGACGGCACCGCATCTTTGGCGAATTGCCGCCACTAGGAGTTGCAGTTTATATAGTACAACCAGTTCTTTGGCTGCACCGCAACACAGCGCCATGCGGCGCACTCGTTGTGGTTGCTCTATGACTTAGCGGTTAAGAGAGCGCCTAGGTTTGCGCACTGACTTTTAAATATATGTATATACATACATACATACATTCATATGCATATACAATATACTCAATTCTATGAACATACGTTGTGGTTTAGCTTTCAGTTTGAACCACAATGAAAAAATATCTATTTTTCAAAGATACTTCCTTATTTGATATTATTATTATACCCTATATAGTGTATATTAAGATTGCCGCGATGTTTGTAACCTCCGAAAGATACATCTCAGATGGTCCAGCCGTTGAGCTCAATTTTCGATTACTCGTTAGAGCAATTCGACAGGTAGTTGGCGAATGACAGGCGTGATGTTTTGTTTCAAGGCCTGAATCGAAGAGGGATTGTCCACATACATAGGCTTTAGACTTTACATATCCCCACATGAGAAAGTCTAAATCCTTCGTAAGGTCACTCCGAGTAGCTGCGACAGAAATCGATTTTGTTTTTTATTTCTAGACTAGAATACCCCCTCAACTTTGTCAAAGCTTGTCGTATTAATTGTCAAGAGAGAAAAACTATTTATAAACTATCTTTCTATATTAAATTGAAAATGTTAGAAGTTACATATAGACCTTTTTATTGACATCCATAGAGTAAGTTGGTTGAGAAGAAGAACTATCATTAGATCTGTCATTAGATCTGTTCTACTAGCAAGTGATATCCAATTAAGCCCCATTCAACAACTCTAGGTGGATTTGATGCCATTTTAAGCTTTTTCCTCCGGCGCTGTTCAATTTCTTTTAAATTGGAACATTCAATTCCTTACTATAAAAAAAAATAAAAAAAAAATTCACCATTTAGTGGTTAGGAAAATTCCAATTTTATAAGGCTGAATCTTTCTCTATAGTAGAGTTGTTCCTAAGCTAAGTTCTTCAGAGAACATCAGGAAGGTTTAAAATCGATTTGGAAAGTTATATGGGAGATATGTGTTATAGTTGTCCGAGGTTTTAGACTTATAGTTTCTTAGTCAGAGTTGTTCAGCAGGTTTTATAGAACATTTTTCGTATATTCGGCTCTGATCTATATTTAAAAATACCTTACATGTCAATATATGTATAATAAGGGTCTTGCTTTGAAATCTTCCAATAAGTAATGTCATCTAACTACAAGCCTTAATCCAATACTAAACAAGTTCTTTTTTTTTAATTTCAGAAAAGCATTTTGATAATGGAACAAGGATTTGGTTTCTATATAGGGAATGTATTGCTGGCGACACGAATATACGTGTCTTACCTGATCATTTTTAAATGCGTACGTTGATTCCTGCAGCTGCCACACGCACGTGCTTACCTTTCTAGGAATATAGTATGAATATGTATGTATGCACATAAAAACCTACTCTAAATAGTGCAAACCGCAATGATGATACACAGACAATGTTGATACGAAGCTTCAGCAAGTGCATGCTGCTCTGAGCGTACACATGTAAGTTTGTAGTCCTCGTATAACTGTGTGCTTGTCATCAAATAATTGCAGCTAGTACTTATTTTAACCTAACACAACGCGCCCTCTTAAATCAAACTATCCAATGATAGTATTACACACATACATGAATATATGATATTTTTTGTGATCGGTGCTACGTCGATCAGTGTGCTACGTTGACCCCATATCGA